CCTGCCTGACAGTCTCAAAAAGCTAACCTCCACCTGCAAGAGGCGCTCCTATTGTACCATACACGAAAGAAAGAGACATACGGTCCAGTGCCCGTGCCTTGCCTGGGGACCTTCAGACTCACCTTCTGTGTCCCATTTCCTCACTAGTAAAATGGGTATAACCATACCATGCTGCTTACCACACAGACTCAGGGAGCTATAATGGATTAGAAATTATAAACTGCTTTAAGGATGAGTTATTATGAAAAAGAACAATCATCATTCTCAGGGGCCTATAAATTATGGCTGCAGGACAAATGGAGCCTGCTGCCTGTTTTTGTAAATACAGCTTTATGGGAACATAGCCTCGCCACTCCTTTTGTACTGTCTGTGGCTTCTCCTACACACCAAAGGCAGACTTCAGGAGTCCCAACAGACATCATATGGCCCACAGAGCTGAAAATATTTACTAGCCAGCCCTCTATAGGAAAAAGTGTTACTGAACCATCCTGTCAAGAAATGTTTTATTTTCAAGCAAACAAGGTTTCATTATCCCACACGAAAAATATGCAGTCGCCTAACACGGCGTATTTCACAACATAGGCCACATGCTTTAACAAAAGAACTTCAACATCAATAGCGGTTTTATTAATAACACGTAAGAAATTCATTATACAAGTTTTCTGCTAGGTAAATTCATTACTGTGAACAGAATAGTCCTCACGATTATTTTAAATTCGATTCTTAGAAGAATAATTAGCTCAGAGCTGAGATTTATTTCTGATAAGTATTTTAGGGGGAAAAAATCAGTATTACATTATCCCTATTGTGTCTCACAGCAATGAGGGCGACCAAGCTGCCGGGAGTTGTCACTGCCAAATACACTGTGGGAGCTCAAATATTAATCAAAATGACATCTCCAATTTTTTCCCTTCCTAATCAGGTCTAAACATCATGGGACATTCGGCAAATCAATGAGCAAAACTGGATGCCCTCATCACTCCCAACCTGGCAGTACTACATTTTTAGTTAGAAGACAAGGGCTTTCAGCATTACAGAAATATCTCTCTACTTCAGTCGTTTGCCTCTTCCACGAGATGAATGTGCTCAGCTGTGATTCCAAACTTTACCCTGGAAAGCATCTGACTGCGCCACCTATCACAGAAACACCCCTTACCACCTCAAGATACAATCGGCATGGAGGTGCATGACTCTAGAATATGCGGGTATATTCTACCGAAGGCACTCGTGGGCAAATTGAAAGTAGACTGTTACTTTGTGAAAATCTGTAGAGGCCTCACATCCAATCCTCTGCACCCAAGGGAGGGTGGCACAGGGACTGACCCCATACCCCGCATCCCCCGAACTTCCACCGAGATAGACTTTTGGCAGGTTGAGAATTAATTAACTTTGGCTTCAAGCCCTGTCCCCTACCTATTCTTTTTAGGCCCCTTTCCCTGAAACTCTTATTCCACTTATACCTCCTATTTTCTCTCCATGGGCTTTGGAGTCGCTCTAGTGCTGAAAGACCTGATAAATACCTTCATGTCAATTTATTCCTCCTTCCTGTATTTGGAGAAGGCCCAGTGCTAGAGAAGTGAAACAAAGAATAGATCTGTTCACACATGGAACTAAGTTTGAATCCTGTAGAGAGAACAGCTGCAAGCAAAGCTAAAAGGCCAAAGCCCAGGAAACACTAACTGGAGTAGAAAACACGCAGACCTACACCTGAGGAGGTTCTCATGCCCTGTGAACTCCAGAAAGCCTAAGGGAGACTTGGAGCAGAAAGCTAAGGACCTGCTTG